AGATGGCTCCTAACAAATTACAAGTGGGATGATAAGACATAATCCTAAAAGGAGAGCTTTTCCCTTGTTTATGAGGTCACATGCCAGAAATTTTTTTTTTCTGCTAAGCGGGATCTGGCTGGATTAGAGTGTTGCCCAGTTTAGGCTCCAAAACAAACTCTTCCACACTCCAATTATGAGATTTTCATTTCCTAAGACATCTGAAAGACATTTGGTGGTATAAATTTTCAGAACATTGGCCACTCAATTACCTTCCCTGCAAAATTCACTAGAAAATATCCTCCAAATTACTGATATTAACAGAAGAAAAAATTTGAATTTAGAAGTTTTAGGTTTTAAAAGCCTTACTGATAAGAGTTGCAGAGAACTAGGAAAAATAGCACTAGTTGCTAAAGGGCTTTACTGATAAATCTAATTAAAGAAAAGTCAAAGAACACAAAGGAATAATAAAGAGAAAATAAATTATAAAAAGAGGGTTACTAAAATTACAGAGTAAATCAATAAAGAATTGGAGGAAAGGCAAAAACAAAAACCTAAAAACCTGTCTTCCAAAAACTGAGACAAGATTATTCCTTTTTATTATGAAGACTGTCACCTATTATGAATGTTCGTAAAATGTTTAAGGACACTCTTTAGTAAAATTGAAGTAAAAACAATGGTGCACAGTATACATTCAAAAACAAAATCATGAAAGAAGCAAATAGCAGATTTGGTGTTATCATTATTTTTAATTTTAGCCATTCTAATAGGTATGCAATGATATCTCATGTGGTCATAATTTGCATTTCCCTGGCTAATGATGATGAACTTCTTTTTCATGTGCTTATTAGCCATCTGTATATCCTCTTCAATGAAATGTCTGTTTATGTCTTTGCCCATTTTCTAATTGAATTTTTCAAAAAACTGCTTAATGTTCAGGTTCTTTATGTATTCCAGGTACTAGTCCTTTGTCAGATATGTAGTTTGCAAGTATTTTCTCCTAGTCTGTAGCTTGATTTTTCAGCCCCCACATGTGGGCTTTTGCAGAGCAGCATTTTTTCATTTTGTTGAAGTCCAATTTATCCATTTTTCTTTTATAGATTGTGCTTTTGGTGTTAAGTCAAAAAAACAGTGCTTTGCATAAGACTAGATCATGAAGACTTTCTTCCTCTTTTTTCCCCAAAGGGGTTACAGTTTTATATTTTACATTTAAGCGTGTGATCTATTTTAAGTACATTTTTGTACAAGGTGTGAGGTTCATTCAAATTGAGTTTGTCTTTTGCCTATGAATGTCCAATTGCTCTAGCAACATTTGTTGAAAAGTCTATCTTGGCTGGGTGTGGTGGCTCATGCCTCCAATCTCAGCACTTTGGGAGGCCAAGGTGGAGGATAGCCTGGGGCCAGGAGTTTGAGACCAGCTTAGGCAACATAATGAGACTCCACGTCAAAAACAACAAAAAAACACTAGCTGGTTGTGATGGCATATAGCTGTAGTCCTAGCTACTTGGGAGGCTGAAGCAGGAGGACTCATTGAGCCCAAAGAGCTCAAGTTTACAGTGAACTATGCTTCTGCCACTGCACTCGAACCTGGGTGACACAGTGAGATCCTGTCTGTAGAAGAAAAAAAAAAGACGTCTTTCCTCCACTGAATTGCTTTTGCACTTTTGTAAAAAAATCAGTTGGACATATTCATATGAGTCACTCTCTGGTTTGTTTCAGGGATTGTTTACCAATACCATACTGTCTTACCACATTAGATTGCTAGGGCTGCCATAACAAAGTACCACAGCTGAGTGGTTTCAACAATAGAAATCCATTTTCTCACAGTTCAGGAAACTAGAAGTCCAAGACTAAGGTGTTGGCAGGCCTGGTTTCTTCTCAGGGATCCTCTCCTCGGCTTGTAGGTGGCCATCTTCTCTCTATGTCTCTACATGGTCCTCCTTCTGTGCCTCTCCCTGTCCTAAGCTCTTCTAAGGACACTTGTCACCAGTGAATTGGGAATCACCCATATGACCTCATTTTACCTTAATTAGCTGTTTAAAAGCTCTATCTCCAAACACAGTTACATTCTGAGATACTGGGGGTCAGGACTTAAACATATGAATTTTGAGAGATATAAGGGAACACAGTTCAGCCCATAACAATTACTATAGCTATACAGTAAACCTTAATATTGGGTAGAGTGATCCTTCTTACTTTCAGTATAAGCTGGTTTCAAGTAATAATTTAAAAAATTTTTTTTTTTCAGATCAACAATTAACGAGAATTGACAGAGTAAGTAGCCACTGGATTTCAAGTCAAAAAACAAGGATTTAAGATCTGTGTTACCTCTGAGTTGCAGCTTCCTCACCTGCAAAACAAGGCATAATAACATCTACCTTGTAAGATCAGATGTGGTACCAATTGAAGTGCAAGAATGAACTTAGGTCTTCTGATGCCAAATCTTTGTTACTTTTTCCTTGTAAAGATTACTTGAGATAGTCTAGAGAAATAAAGTTACCACATACATTTTAAAATAAATTTGTCTATGTTTACTAAAAACCTTGCTGAGATTTTGACAGGAACTGCATTAAACCTATTGATCAAACCGAGGAGAACTGACATCTTTATTGTGTTGCTTTCCAATCCATGAACATGGTATTCATCTCCATTTATTTAGGTCTTTGACTTCATCAGCATTTTTAACATACAAATCTTGTATACAATTTGTTAATTTTATTCCTAAGTACTTCATTTTCTTTGGGGTGACTTTAAATAGTACTATGTTTTTGTTTTCACATTTGCCATTTGAATATAGAAATGCAATTGCTTTGGGGGAATTGGTCTTGATCTTGTATACTGTGATTGTGCTAAACTCACTTATTAGCTCGAGGTGTTTGCTTGTTTTAAAATAAATTCCTTGGTATTATCTATGTAAACAATCATGTCATCTGCAAATAAAATGTTTTTAAAAATTTCTTTCTTTCCAGTCTGCATGTCTTTATTTATTTATTTATTTATTTATTTATTTTTGCCTTATTGCAGTGACTAGCACTTCTAGTATGAGGCTGAATAAGAGTGGTGAAAGCAGACATACTTGCCTTATTCCTAATCTTAGAGAAAAAACATTCAGTTTTTTTGCTATTAAGAAAGACGTATAGGCTTTTAAAAAATGTTCTTCATCAAGTTGAGGTAATTCTATTTTTAACTCACTGAGTTTTTCTCATGAATGAGGGTTAGATTTTGTCAGACTCCTTTTGTGTCTATTTATATGATTTTCTTTACTTTGTTGATATGGTGCATTACACTGACTGTTTTAAGACTGAACTAGCCATGTACACCTGAAACAAACCTTACTGTTCATGACACTGTTGGATTCAGAACAAACTAGAACTTTTTACTCCATGTCACATGGTTTTTCCACTCCACCACAGTTACTTTTAGCAATTTTGACATCAGCTCAACTCCTATAAAAGACCTTTCTAGTTCTTTCTCCCTGAAATATGTTATGATTCCCCATGGTGGCTGTTTCCTCTTACTTCAACAAGCTAATAAACCTAACTTTGTCTGATTACAGGTGTGTTTCTGGTGGTTTTTGGCTGGCAGGTTTTATCTCTGAGAACCTGGATACCAGGCATATGTGTACAGACTACTAGGGTCCCCAGAGTTGAATTTTAGAAATACTGTACTGGTGAAAAGATTACTATTTTACCAGATTATTTATGACTGTTAGTGTCTGTTATTTTTAAGGCAAGTCTCAAAAAATAAATACAAAATATCTCAAGAGATTAGAAAAATTTTATCATCATCCCAAACTGGATTATATATTGAAATTCTGACAAAAATAATATTATTTAAGATATTTTTAAGTAGTACCACAAACTATCTGTACCTGAATATAAAACCAAATAGTAAACTGGCAAGTACACACTGAATATATTCATCTTTAAAATATCACTTTGTTTAGAAATTCATACATATGTTTTTGTAGTTATGAAGTGGAAGACACACAAATATCTACATAAGATTTTCATTTAGCAAACATATGAACTATTCCCTATGCTTTCAATGAATCATCAGAAGGCTAAAAATCCTGTTAATTTTTTCAAAGGTGCACGAAATAATATTTCATTTCCAATAGCAAAATATAGTACTTCTAATTTTCCTTATACTCTCTTTCAACCCTACTGTGAGAACTGCTTATAATTATATGGCAGCTTGTTAATGGGTCCCTACATAATCTCTGTATCAGGTTGGGTTAGGAGGTGCCAAGGGGCATTCTAGGGTAGAAGTTATGACAGTACAAAAGCAGAGATTTCTCTTTCTCCCCTTCCTTCCTTCCTTCCTTCCTTCCTTCCTTCCTTCCTTCCTTCCTTCCTTCCATCAGTCCTTCCCTCCCTCCCTCCATCCCTCCCTCCTTTCTCTCTCCCCCCTCTCCTTTCTCTCTCTCCCTCCCTCCTTTCTTTCTCTCTCCCTCTCTCCCTCTATCCCTCCCTCCTTTCTCTTTCTCCCTCCCCCCTTTCTTTCTCTTTCTCTCTCCCTCCCTCCTCTCTCTCTCTCTGTCTTTCAACAGACTCTCACTCTGTTGCACACAATCTTGCATCACTTCAGATTCTGCCTCCTGGGTTCACATGATTTTCCTGCCTCAGCCTCTGGAGTAGCTGGGGCTACAGGTGCCAACCACCACCCTTGCCTAGTTTTGGTATTTTTAGTAGAGACGGGTTTCACCATGTTGGCCAGGCTGGTCTTGAACTCCTTGCCTCAAGTGATCTGCCCGCCTTGGCCTCCCAAACTGCTGGTATTACAGGCATGAGTGACCGCACCTGACAGAAGCAGGGATTTCTTATTAGAAAATTTATACTTGCCACTTTAAGCACAGGACCTGTACAAAAGGTATCACCATTGAATTAGTCTTTTTCACTTATAAACTATAATTAGGATTTCAGTCTGATGTGAAGCAGCTTAAAATGGCATCACGCCACCCTGGGGATCCTTGCCTAGTTCAGACAGAAAGACAAGTTTGGGGGCAGAAAGTAGAAATTAGTATTTTCAATTCTCCTTTATTAACAATGACACAGGCATTCATCAGCTAAGACAATTAAATAAAGCTAAGTATTCCAGATTTCTTTCTTCTCCAAATCATGGCTTATATCTAATTTCACTAACAAGGAGGTCATGATTTGCATCTAAGAAAGGCTAGAATATTGAAAAAGAAGTCCAGGGGAGAGCAGGCACCAAACCTAGGGAAGTACAGTGAACTGCCTGGGACCAGCAAACTAGGTAGCAATGGGATAATATTGAGACAACTGCTTAATCAAAAAAATGAAAATACAAGTTCTATTGAGAGGAGGCAAACTGGTCATGTCTCTGAATTCATAAACCATACAATTTAATTTGTAATGACTTGAAAGAATTTTCTTTTCTTAAGCAAATTCAGTCATGCAACCTCCTGAGTGAAGCAATGTGTTCTGACCCACGGTTTCTATAATTCCATTTGAAGATTAGAAAAGAAACATGGAACTAGAAAATTGCACATTTCTTGAGTACTTACTTAATCCTAGGCCTGAGGCTAAGAACTGTACACTTCATTTAATCCCCCTAAAAACCCTTAGAAGTATGTATCATTTCCCAATTCACTAGTGTGGAAGTAGAGACTGAAAGGGACCCCACCATAAATCCCACATGATTAAGCTGAAATTCAAATTCAAGCCTAACTCAAAAGCTTGTGGTCTTTTCATGCCAACATATTGTCATCCCTAAGTGAGATGTCAGAGGGGATCTAGCCCAGGTCTTAATGATAGTGGAAGACAAGGAGAAAAGAGGAATAGTTGCTGGGATTTTTCTTGAGAAATTTTCTTGACTGGTCGGTAACTGAAGTTTTTCCATGCCTTAAAACTGTTACAACTAATAACTACATGTTAGAAGGTGGGAATGTGGGACCATTTCTCTGACTGGGTTTTGAGGGAATATTTCTCCTAAGGATTTATAGCATTTAAGATTTAAAAAAAGGTTCACTTTCCAGAAAGTGAAACTAGGGGTAAACTTAGAAAAACGTGTAGACATAAGTTTGAGTGAAATTTTAGACTGGAGTGTGGAAGCTCATTCCAAATGTGTTTTCCAGATTTAGCTCTGGTACCCAATGTACAAATTCGTGCTTACCTATGTAATATCTTGCCTATCTATGTGCCATTTGAAGTACTATAGTCGTGTAAGAACAAAAACAATGGTTTGAGATCACAAATTTAAAAAGGAATGAGTACAATCTATTCTTTACTACTTGCATTTATCAGAGAGTATCGATATAAATAATTAAAAGTAGTTTAAATACTAAAAACTAGATACTCTAGTCACCTTTCCAGCCAAGTAGATTTAAAAAATCCTGAAAACTGCAAAGTACTCCAGTTACATCTATTATTTTTGTGTGTCTGAATGAGACCACTACTGCCAGGTAAAGGTCCCTTAGGAAAGAAAGGGCCTCATGAAAGGTCACTTTAAAGGGGAAATACTCTTCACATACAGGCATTTAGCAGATTGGTGCTGAGGGTTCCCCTGGGAAGTAGAATGGTGAAGTAGCAATGGGATGCATCTTGAGCTTAGAGAATTGGGTACCAAAGGCTGATGTCTCCAGAAGTGAACTATTTCATTGCCTGGAGAGAAGGCATTTTCCAGATAAAGGTATGAAGGCCGCCCAAGAATTTTGAACGAGAAAATACTTCTCCTTGATCTCTCTGTCATCTTAGGTTTTCAGTCTGAACAAAGAGATACTAAGTGGCAGAAATACCCTGAAATTTAGACTCACTGAAGCACCTGATGACTTCTCTGTTAAGCATCTCAAGCACTGTTAAAGATACTGTGTTGTGATGCAAAACAGATATTTGACTAGAAGTCATGGCAGTCTTGGGTTTTAGCCTCAGCTGTTCTTGTTCAGGTCATTCTATTCTGTGTTTATTTAGCTTTTTCATTTATATATTTAATTCCTCTTATAAAATAAGTGAGTTTAAAATGAGTATTACATTACGGTCTCTTTTAGCTTTTAAGATTCAAAAGCAGAATGACTTTCACTTAAGTTTTAACTTGTTTTGTGGGGATACTGGCAAACATTCTGTCACCTAGTAGTCACATTGCAGGTTTTGCAGCTAGGGAATCAAGGAAATCAGCTGTCTCACAGAGCAGCTACTCTTAAGGATGCTCAGTTTTGGGAACTATGGTTTTATTCCAGGGGCCAGATATCAGCAGCTGCAGCAGAGGAGAGAAGGACTAGTGCTCCCTGCTTAGAGATGGACTGGGTGGCTACCTGGTTGCCCTGGTTGTCAATTAAGAGGAATCTTACCTCTCAGGATGTCTCTGGAGACACCCATGGGTGCCTAACTACCAACAAGTTGCCAGCTTCCCCAGGTAAACCAAACCTGAAAGTGGTCAGATTAGGAGGTACTGATGATGGATATACCTAACCCAAGGTCTCTGGACACTCCACAGAATCCAACTGTTAAAAAGCATAAGATAAAGTATAGTGAATCAGAATCAGAGGGAAGCCTGGCCTTCAGATTCTAGGGGAAGGCTTCTGTTCCCCCAAGTTAGGGTAGAACCCATGAGCTGAAGCCTGTGAAACCAGAAGACAAGAAAAGTATTTTAGCAGCCAGTAGTCTCTGTAGGGAAGAATATAGAACCTGTGTCAATGGGGCCAACCTGTCTTGGATTTCAGACACTCTTAAGATTTTGTACTCCAGGAACTTTAGATAAAAGGTTAATCTGAACAGGAATGGGTAAACTCTCCTGGCAAAGAATGAGAGTGAGTCCCAATTTGAAATGGGCAGAAATGTGGAGTGTTATGTATTTCTAGATAATGAGCACGAGCAAATGGTCTCCTCAAGTCAGGTGGATTTTGCCCAAAAATGCTATTATTTGTTATATTATTTTTGAACATGAAAAATGAACTTAGGGTTGTAGAATTTGGGAATGCACTCTATGGGCCGATTTTCTAGAAAAGAGAAAACTGATTATGATGATACGCCATTCTGGGACAAGTTTGCTGATAATCTTAAAGGTCCACAGAAACCTGCTCATGTTATTTATGAAAGACCCAGTAATTTTGCATTGAGAATGCAACTTAAGACAGGAAGACTGTTGGCTGTCATTTATCAAAGAAGGTTTGTATGTTGCTTTAAAAACTTGGAATGGGGTGGTTGTAGGTTACTTTCCCTAATTGGTTTTCGAGAAAGTCTATCAGCCCATTCCCTCAGATGTTTGGGTTTCCATTTGTGAGACTCCTATTGTGCTCTGGTTTTAGAGGAAAATCTGCCAAGCTCCCAAAAGTAGTCCTAAATAGCACAGATAACATATAAGATTCAGCTTCCTTTCCCAAAGAGAAAAACAGCAGTGCTTATTATGCCTGCATTTTCCTTTACCTTGCACTTGGAATATATCCTTCGAGTGACTGGTGAGGAGATGGGGGAAACAGCCATCCCAGCCGACTCAGACATCTTGAGGGGAAAAGGAAACTGAAGGGCTCCAGAGTGTGTGGTACTTGATAAAGCAGAAGGCTGAGTTCTTGCCCCATAAACAATTAACAGACTGAAAAACTAGGGATGGACACAAACTTTACAAACTCTATGATCTGTGGTAGAGTGAATAGTTGCCAAGTCCACCATTTAGCATCCATTTTGGAGATCCGATATATTAGAAGAGGAGAAGAAACAGGTAGGTTTACATGCCATTTGAATTGGTATATAGACCATAAATCAAAGATATAAAGCTGTGATAAATGAAGATAAGAGTATATTTTAAAAATCAGAATACATTAAAATTTTTATTAATATATTAGTGTCATTAAAATTGGGAGTGCAAGGATTATACATTCAGAAAATATAAAATGTACAAGAATTTCTCATATTTGTATCTAAGAGAATGACTGAGAATAAAAGTGAGTTTTGTGAAATCATGGACTCTCAAAATCATGTCTAGTAGAATGGTCTCACCTGAATGATTTGTCAACAAGTGCCATCAGAGGTCAGTGAAAAATTTCTCACAATGGATGGAAATTTAAGCATTACACAAGCACAGAGTTTCTTCTCACTTCAAATATGAAAACAGTATGTATACAGAAATTTACTTATCTTGACAAATAAGGTCTGATATAAATAAGCTCTCATCTTCCCTAAAGGAATGATGCCTTATGCTCTAATTCAATTCCACATAAGATTAGTTGAAAAATAAACCTGATGTCATCTTTTCTTGATGCCACCCAAAGTCTGATCACTTGAATATTAACTCAAACTCCACAATCTTAAAAGTAGCACTAACATATCAGCTTAAATGCCCAGAACAGGAATGGGTTATTCTTTTTAACTAGCATAACCTTCCTTAGCTTTGCCTGGTGAGCTCATCTTCCAGTTCAAGCGTTACTTAACATTTTAAAAACCTTTACAGAACTTGAACTCTTCAAAGGGTAGGGGAGGGTTCCCTCAAAGGAAAATCAAGTTGTTTACCAAAGGGAGGAATAAAAGAGGCAGGTATTTGTCTCATTAATCTAGGCTTCTCCACTGTAACCTAGCATTGTATGTGGCACATGAAAATTCCTCAGTAAGTGCTAAATGAAGAATTAAATCAGATGGCTCTGGAGTGACGAAACTTTCTGTGTCTTCAAACTTATCACTTTTTTTCTTTGGTTCCCACTTATGTTTGACAAATAGGCATGTATCTTTTTAAACAGTTATCTACCTTTTTTTCCAAGAAAGGAATTCTCCCATTCGACCTAGTATCTCAATATAACTGGATAACCTCATCCCACTCAGAAATAGGCCAGATTCCATTGGGTTGCACATTGGGAGGAGAGCGCTTCCAGTCCCATGTCTTTACAGGAATCTTCCAGGTCTTACCATAGTTGGCTTCAATGTATTCGAGGGTTTCACAGGGCACATGAATCTTCATGTCTACAAACTCAGTCCAGCAAAGTGTAAACTTGGGAAACAGGTATCTGCAGCAAAACAGAGGGATTAGGCTTCAACAGTGGAAGGTCTGGCTAAGGAATCCAGCTGCTAATGCATTATTGGCTGAAGGATAGTACTCTCCCATAAAACGGCTTTGGAAATAGAGTGGATATTTAATTGTTTTTGACTGTCCAGAACCCCTTTCCTCTTCTAATGTTAACAGTGCCCCAATTTTCCTTCCCTGTTGCAAGTCCATAAGATTGACGAGAGGCTGACCCGATCCCTAAGCTCCAGAGATGGGTAAAAAAGACCCAGGCCAGTAAGTTCGTGACTGAGGCAGCAGCCTTGGGCTTTCTGTTGGAACTATCAAGGAAAGAAGTGTCAAAACAAAAAGCTGTCAAAAGATAGATGAAAATGACCATTTTCTTTTCTTTTACAATCTGGATTTCCCAAGAATACAGAGTAAGCAGGACTCCAAGTTGTATTTCCAGGTTTTTCCTTTGGTTCCATAGCTTACGTGATCCTACCTATGGTTTCTGCCTTTCATCTCAAATGCTAAAGAACGTCTTTAAACCAGCCCAAGAAATACGAGTTACAATGATTTTAACTATATCTATTGTAGAACTAAGTCAATTAGTAAGTAAGTTTCAGAAATTAAACCAGGCTGGGCATGGTGGCTCCCAGCACTTTGGGAGGCTGCGGCGGGTAGATCACTTGAGGCCAGAAGTTTGAGACCAGCCCACCCAACATGATGAAACCCCATCTCTTCTAAAAATAAAAAGAAATTAGCCAGGTGTGGTGGTGTACTCCTGTCATCTCAGCTACTCAGGAGGCTGAGGCAGGAGAATCACTTGAACCCGGAGGTGTAGGTTGCAGTGAGCTGAGATCACACCACCGCACCCCAGCTTGGGTGACACAGTGAGGCCCTGTCTCAAAAAAATATATATAAAACAAACAAAAATTAAACCAAAACATGTTTCTTAAAGGTACTTTGGATCAAGTAAAGTAAATTCTGTATACTATAAAAGAAAGCTTAAACTAGCAGGTCTGTTTAAGTTACATTATAGCTCTACTGTATATTCTGCATTTTTTTTCTGAGAAATGTTTCAACATGGGAAGAACTTTCAGTAATGAGGTTTGAAGGGGCAATAGCAGAGATTATAGGAATTTAAAATATCAGAGGATTAAAGAAAGAACAGGGAAAAGCCAGGTTTTAAAATGTAATCATACTGTGGAAATGGGATCTAACTGGGATGTTCTCCAAGAAAAGGTCAGTTCTCATATATTCTGCCTTTGAATATCGTATTTTACCACCAAATGAACATAAAGCCGTATACAAAAAGAAGAGGCTGAACAAATTCTAAAGAGAGCAACAACTCCCTTCTACTCAAACCCAGTTAATGGACAATCCCAGCTGGCTACTGTGAAAAGGCAGTCACAGAAAATCTCGTAGCTGAGAAATAAGATACAGCTTAGCCCCACCATCTGCTGGTCCCAATTTTACTTTGCACACTCATGTTCACGGAATTGCTTATTTTGTCATTACACATAACGATCCATCACCAGCCTCCACCCTCTCTAATCAGATGCTGGTTAGCAGAATGTCCACCTGTCTTATCCTATCAAGTTGACACACTGAAGTTGAATTGAGGCAGAAATCATGGTCTATCCTGTAACACAGGCCAGGAAACTTCTCTAAGAATTATCCTTTGTGGTCTCATCCGCTGAAAGAGGGAAAAATAATAATAGATACAGGATAGATACAGTGAAAGAGAATACTACAAATTTTACAAAAGCAATGTTTTGAACAATGAAGGATTTATGAGCAAAGCCAAAACATTTTAAATATATAAACAATGTGAAAATAATTCAAAGTCAATTTAACTCAAATGGTGATTTTTGTACTTAAACAGAAACCTCTCTGAACCCTTTATGGTTTTCTTTTCCCCAATTATTTTTCAATCCATTCAGCAAAAAGAAAATCCCAGCATCCTAGGAGAAGAGGAAAAATAAACAAACAATAAAATGTAAAAACTAATTATAAAATAGCATTGTGGAGAGGAAGTGAAGGAGGGGTGAATGACACAGAACAGCACATGCCATGTACCCTGTCCAGGCAACCAGTAAATAATGACTAAGACTAAAATACACCATGGGTCTGCAATGCTATCTTGACTTTTAAAGCTAAGGTTAAGTTTAGCTGAGCAGTTTGTACTTTAAGGCCCTGGGATTGGATCCAACATGTGAACAGGTTTAAATTCAGACTAAGGCAACTCTAAATCAGACTACAAGTTTAAGAGATCTTATGACCACAAAAAAATCCTGCCATCCGTTTTATATTTCATGTCACTTTTACTTCATGTTATCTTTACATAAAATAGTAGTTAAACAGTTGGAATAGACCATTTTTTTCCCTCACAGATATCTTTAAAATCCACAGAACTACTTGGTGGTATTTGGATAATTTCATCAGTTTACATACAATCATTTAAAGTACAATTTATGAACATAACTGCTAAATTAAAAGGAGGTTCTTCCACCATCCTAGAATAACAATGTTTTATTATTACTAGGTTCAGAGAGAGAGACAACATCAACTATAACTGAACCTGACTTTTTTAAACTTAAGTTCTACATTAACTCCAGTTGGAGCAGTAGAGCCATTTCTTGACAAGAATTTCCTGCAAAACATAAATGGTTTATTCTCACTACCAATTTTTTCCTCTTCTTTTAATTTCTTCTTCTCATGTTATTCCAGTGCCTAACCCCTCTAGCATATTGTTTAATGGAAGCAGGGCTAGCACGCATTCCTAAGTTTTTTCTGATTTTAACGGAAAGGCTTCTAAAGTTTTATCATTAAACATGATTGCTCACTCTAGTTTTTTTTTTACATTCTCTTTATTAGGTTAAAGAAATTTCAGATTCCTTTTTTATTTTTTATTTTTTTGAGACAAAGTCTCACTTTGTTGTCAGACTGGAGTGCAGGCTGGAGTACAGTGGTGCAGCCTCAGCTCATTGCAACCTCCATCTTCCGGTCTCCTGCCTCAGCCTCCGGAGCAGCTGGGATTATAGGCGCACACTACCATACCCGGCTAGCTTTTCTATTTTTAGTAGAGACATGGTATCACCATGTTGGCCAGGGTGGTCTTGACCTCCTGATCTCAAGTGAACCACCCACTTCTGCCTCCCTAAATGTTGAGATTACAGATGTGAGCCACCGTGCCCAGCCCAGAGTCCTTTTAATCCAAATTTGCTGAGAGGTCTCTTTTTGACTAATTATAAAATTTATCAAAAAATTTTAATGTCATCTATTAAAACAATCATAGTGTTTTTGTTCCTTTAATCTTTTAATCCTTTAATATGGAACCCCTTTAATCCTTTAGTAATTATATTAGTGTAATATAGAGAATTATACTAATATGTACCCACTACAAAATTCTATTCATTTAGTATTTTTTCACTGTATTCACTGAGACAGTAATTTCCCTTACAATTTTTTTTTTGGGTATTGTCCATGTCCACTTTTTCTATCACTCTCATAAAATAGTTACTTAGTTTTATATTTTTCTATCGCCTGAAATAAACTGTACAATATAGGGATAATCTGTTCTGTGAAGGCACAATAAAACTTTGCAGTAAACTTTCCAGGTTTTAGTACTCTCTGGTAGGGAAAAGAAGGAGAAAGGAGGATTTCTGATTACTAATTCAATTTCTTGAATGAATGCAGGTTATCTAGATCTTTTTGAGTTGATTTTTCTGGAAAATTTTATCATTTTCACATTTTAATTATCACATTTATTGACCTAGTTATCTACCTCATTTTTTTTTGAGTCAGTGTAACACAGCCGAGTATAAACTAAAGCCAGCCATCCCAGATTTTTATTTTTTTCTTAATCAATCTTGCTATTTTACTAGTCTTTAATTTTTTTTAAGCCAGAATTTGATTTTTTGGTCTTTGATAATGTTTATTTTCCATTTCATTAATTTCTTTTCTTGACTTCCTTCCTTCACTTTCCTTGACTCTCTTGTTCTTTTATTTCAGCTGAATGCTTGTTTTTAAATCTACTTTTTCATACTTAATGTTTTTAAGGCTTATATACTTATTTCTACCCCTATAATGTTTTGTTTTTTATATTTGAGACAGAGTTTCCCTCTGTTGCCCAGGCTGGAGTGCAATGGTGCCATCGTGGCTCACTGCAACTACTGCCTCCCGGGCTCAAGCAATTCTCATGCCTCAGCCTCCTGAGTAGCTAGGATTATAAACATGTGCCACCATGCCCAGTTAATGTCTGCATGTTTAGTAGAGACAGGGTTTTGCAATGTTAGCTAGGCTGGTTTTGAACTCCTGGCCTTGTGATTCGCCCACCTCAGCCTCCCAAAGTGCTGGGAGTTACAGGTGTGAGCCACGGTGCCTGGCTCCAGCCTATAATTTTTAACATGTAGTACATTCATCATCTTTAAGTCTTAAATATGCTATAATTTCTATTATGACTTCCTTTTTAATTCATGAGTTATTAAGGAGGATGTTTTTAAGTTTTCACTCATTTTAAAGATGTCTTAATTGCCAATTTCTAATTTAATTCCATTGTGGTCATAAATGCTATCTACTGAAATAACCATGTAGTTTTTTTTCTTCTTTAATCCATTATTATGGAGAATTATACACAAACAAGAAATTTTTATTAAGGGTTTGAAACTTCTTAAAATTGCCTTTGTGGTACAGTATATGATCAACTTTTGTAAATGTTCTGTTTATAGCTGACAAGAAAATATATTCACCATTTATTGGGTAAAGACTTTATATGTATAAAGTCAAATAGATCAAGTCTGTTAATTTTGTTCAAATCTTCAATATCTTTACTAATTTCTTCTTTTTTAAACAAGCAGTTTTATTTTGAGATAGGGTTTGCTGTGTCACCCAGGGTGAAGTACAGTGTCCAATCACAGTTCATTATGACTTCAAGCTCCTAGGCTCAAGTGAACCTCCCACTTCTGCATCCTGAGTAGCTGGGACTACAGGTACATGCCACAATGCCCAGCTAATTTT